GATCCACGCGAAGTGCCCAGCGTTATCATCACCTCGCGGATCTGGGATATGCAGCAGGTTGACATGCTTCTCCATTTTCTGTTCCGTAAGACGTATAGGTGCGACCACGTTTCCTTCTTTCTTTGTCGCGTTGTCATATCTCTTCTCCACACTATAAATGTTGACCGAGATATCGTTCAACCGTTCAAACTTTTTAATTTTATTTATGCGCATTGGAAATTCAATGTCCTGCTTATTCAAAACCGATGTATAGTGTGGGTACGAAGATTGACGATCTGCGTGTTTGTCGGCTGGACATAACGCTGCAACCACTGCCCATGCGAAACATGCATTGTCCATAGATTGCACGTTGATTATAGCCCGCTTCATTTTTATTTCGCGCGGTAACTCGATATGACATCCCGAATGTAATGGATTGTACTTGTTAACATTAACGGTCAGATTGAGTATGCGCGAGAGTGCCCACCCGCTATCTCGTTCCTGAAATTCTTCCATGGACGCTAAGGTGGGTTCGATAACACGCATCGCGAACCAATTGTCTAGATCGGATGTGAAAAAAAGTTCAACGTTCCTCGTATTAATGCTCTTGTTCGCGCGTTTATCACCTGCCACAAATTCACCGTTGAACACAGTATTCACTTTTATGCTACCATGTCTCTTCATAACGCTTCGCACATGCTCGAGCACGATATTCTTCACATCTTGGAGAAATCGAAGAGGGTCGATATAGTCTGTATTTACAATCGCCCCGATTGATATGCGACTATTGAACGCTATATCGATTTCTCGCCAAACAAGTGTCGAATGTCCGGCTCCTGCGTATACAAAACGTCTGCGCAAAGTATTTTTTAAACCCTCGAGTTGCGCTATACGAGCAACCATCGAGTGCGCTGAACCAACCGATAGTCGTGGTTGTTTGGCTCGGCTATGCTGTTCCAACGACTCGAGACACTCGTCGCACTTTTGTTCCCATGCGAGGTATTCGTCTAGCGAGCCTAATTGAGCGGCCTGGTTCTGCAGTTCACGTTCTACGGTTGATAATGATGATAATGCTTCTGCCATTTTTCTAGCAAAACGTTGTAAACACACTGTAACTGCGCGCTCTGCTCGTCTTCGACTAAACTATAAAATATTCTGCTTTGAACATTTTATAGCCCTTAACTCTTTCACAAATACATGCCATTATCAAAATTCGGGAAACTTCCTCGACGAACTATTAAACATATTCCTGAGTCTTAAACTCATATCAACTCGTTGTGGACTTTGCCTAAGTGCATGCCTTTCTTTATCTGATACAATAATAGACTTATAGACCTATGACTGGTATCAGCAGTCTAGCGTCCACTCTGTTTGTCTTCGACTAAATTATAGAATGTTCTGATTTGAACTTTTTTATAGCTCTTCTGTCTTCCACATGCGCACACACATGCACACACACATATCGTTATTACATTCTTCCTGCTTCTTTTTATCTTGTATAGTGTATTGGATGAAGTTTTTGTACCGTATATAAGAATTCTGTTTTAAATATGTCATATTAGTGCATACATATTGGACACAGATTACATGGTGTTATTTGGTAGACGGGGTTTCTACAGTTTGAACAAAATACACCATCAATCACATCGTGTCTTTCGGTGATGTGTTTGCGCACTGCAAATATTTCTGTAACTGTATCGCGAACGCCATCAACAAAACATGATGTGCAGAACCGTAAATTGTCTCCAGAATTATATGAAAAATAAATGCAACACACTTTTGTTTGGTCACTCAAAGTATTAATTTCTGAAACTTCCAATTTCTTCACTTGCAATTTCTTCACTTTTTCATTCACTAATTGATTACTATTGTCACTATCATAATTACTATCATCCGTGAGTATATGATTTATATCTTCTTCGTCTTCTATTTCTTCGTTTTCTATTTCTTCGTCTTCTACTTCTTCATGCTCTATGTTTTCACGATCCATACTGAAAGAGCTCTGACTGATAAATACACACAAAATTAAATCTATATGCTTCACTTTTGCCACTCTTCTCGTTATTATAACTCCCGGAAAAACCTAGCCAAAATAGTCATATCTTTACATGATGCAGCACTAAATGCTTCACAGGCATCCTATGATAAGATATGCATACATTTCTTTATCTGATACCACAATAGTACTTGTAGACCTACGATTTGGTATCAGCAGTCTGGGAGGTCGACGGCTGACAAAAATATTTTGGTCAAAATGTGATATTATAATACAGCACCATTATATTGCAGCGTTTACAAATTGTAATAAAAGTATAAATAAATTACTTTGTTATATATTATGATACATCTTTTTTACTTTAGACCAGATCCTTTCTTCCAACTTCCCCTTATCCCCTTTCTTAGGATTTTTTATGTTAATTATGTTAATTATATTGATAAAAATACCTATAGATGTTTGATAGACGTTCGATAGACGTTCGTGAGACGTTCGTGAGACGTTCAATAGACGTTCGAGAGACGTTGGAGAGATGTTCGATATGTAACTATTTCGGTCAAAACATACTAGTTATTTTATATAAACACTGTATATAATTTCAGTTCTCTGTATATTATTTCAGTTTGATAATTACGAGGGGACATTTAAAACACATTATATGACATTTTTTCTCGTGACGTATGCATGACATCACGGTCACCATCTTGCGTGACGTCCCACCACATTTTTTTTCTCGTGACGTATGCGTGACGTCCCACCATGAGTTCCCCATCCCCGCGCAACGTCATACCCCGCGCCCTGAGTTCCCCGCTTTCCCCGCGCCCCCCTCAGCGCTTCTGGGTTAGAACCGGCCTAGCTATTCTACTGATGCCTGTTCGCAAGGTCTTGGTGCTATTCTGTTACAAAAGCAATCCTCCGGGCACTGGGCGCCTATAGCCTGTGACATGGCAATTTTGAGGTCACCCGTCACAAAAGGCGGAGGGCCTCCAAGGAGGTCCCCCAGCTGTCGCGCTAGGCCGCAATCGCTAGGCGAGCTGCGTTGTTTCGAAAGATCGCGGATATATTTTTGGTGGCGAGCGATCTCGTACCGACGAGTGCGAGATTGCTGTTCTTTTTTTTTGGTGATACTCCCGCGCCCTAGAATGTGTGTGCCTCTTCGCTGCGGGTAGCCTCCGACCGGCAGGAGCGGCGGACCAGAGAAGGGAGACCGAGGGGAAAGGAGGAAGGCCTCGAGGAGCCATCGCGAGCCCTAAGAGCTCTCAGGTGATGTCATTGGCCGCCTCTAATTTTGTTTCCGAACAATTGTACCGTTGAGGTCGCACTGCTGTCGCTGTATTTTTGTGTATTGTCGTAGCCTACAAAACAAACCGGGGCACGACATCTGACAACGAGAAACTTTTGATCACGCAGAAGATGCTCGGCGAGAGAAAGAAGGATTCCGAGCAGCATCTCGCCATCGCGTGATCAAGGAGAAAAAAAATTGGAGCGGAGAAGGATCCACCGGGGCCACGTATCTTCGGCCGGGACGAACGAAGAACACTCTTGGCGAAGCCGTGGCGAAAAAGCGATCGGAGCGGGTGACGAAACCAAAGTCAGCTATCGCAGTTATCGGATCCGAGTACCATTTTTATTGGTGTCGCGGCGACTAGCTATCGGGAGACAGCGCATCGTGCGCGTGCGGATCCCGGAGAGAGAGAGAGAGAGCTATCGAGAGAGAGCCGGAAGCAAGGAGAGGAGCGAGCGGAGCGGACGAGCGGAGGAGCGACTGTCCGGAAGGAGGCTGCCGCCAGCGGGCGAAAATTGTAAGAGTGTCACTCTGTACGACTCTGTTTGTTCGTGTGAACCGTTTGCGCGGTGGGACTAGACAGCGGCTGTCGGACTTTGTGCGAAAATTTAGATTGTAGAGTGGTCACCGAAGCGTCTGTCGGTCTTTCCGTGGAACGCGGGGAGCAGAGCGTTTCTCTCTCTCAACGAACGGGGCTTATCGCTATCGGAATCGCAGGTCGCGGGTCGCGCGGACCTATCGAGATCGCTGTCGCTTCTACGTCAGGAGTCAAAAGACTTGTATTACTGATTACCGTAAAGAAAATACACGCAGATTACTACTTGTTCTACAGTTTGCGTGTTAATTAATTTAATTACCCGCCGAGTTCCCCTCCTAATCCCCCCCAGAGACCCACCCCCATCTCCGACTTAAAAGAACAGGAGCTGTCGAGTTCGTAGGCGATCGCGTCGACTTGCCGTCGCCTAGTTAGTGTTGGTGGGCACGATATTCGTGCCTGGCGCCCAACATTCTTTCGTGAAAATTTTGGTGCATAGGCGGAGGGCGACGGACAGATCGTCGCGACTTTGCCCGCTTCCTAGTCGCTAGGAGCGGTCGCAAGCCTATTTTAGTCAAACGACTAATCAGGCTGAGGCTAACTACCACAGCTTTGAGCTGGAAATGTTGGCAATAGTTAAAGCAGTACAGCGTTTCCATATTTATTTGTATGGAGTTACTTTCAGAATTATTATGGATTGTAACGCCATCGTTTACGCTGTCAATAAAGCTAACCTAAATCCGCACATTGCCCGATGGACTTTGCATCTGCAAAATTATTCATTTGAGATAGCACACCGACCAGGCACTCGTATGGCACACGTAGACGCTCTGAGCCGGAAAGTGTGTTATACGGAATCCTATCCATTAGAACGAGATCTCGAATATAAACAACTACAGGACAGCAATCTTAAATCGATTGCCGCTCAGTTGGAATGGTCACATAATGATAAGTTTGAATTGATTGACGGTCTAGTTTACCGCAAAGCTGAAGATCGTTCGAGATTCGTTGTTCCGGATTCCATGATAAGCAACTTGATTCGCATACACCATGGTCAACTGGCTCACTGAGGGGTTGAAAAAGTATTTCAAAGTTTGTATAAATCATATTGGTCCCCGTCGATGCGGAAAAAAATTCGGGATTACGTAGAGAATTGTATTACTTGCTTGTTAGCGAACTCCTCTGCTCATAGCAGGGAAGGAGAGATGAATATCGCTCAGGTAGCTACTGCTCCATTGGAAATTCTTCACGTGGATCATTTTGGGTCATTACAGGAAACCGAAGATGGTTTCAAGCACGTATCAGTGCTCGTAGATGCGTTCACGCGTTTCACATGGCTAATGTCTACTCGTTCCACGGGAACACAGGAAACCTGCAAAATATTGCAGACCATTTTTGATACGTTTGGAGCACCGAAGCTTTTAGTTTCGGATAGAGGAACATGCTTTACCTCTTTAGAATTTGTTAAATTCGTTGAAACTTATAAAGTAAATCACCAAAAGGTTGCAGTCGCGGCACCAAAAGGTTGCAGTTGGACAAACGGCATAGCTGAACGCGTTAACCGATTTTTAAAATCTTCTTTGGCCAAGACTGTGGAGAAGACTGCAGAATGGGAAAGTCATTTGAGCGAGGTTCAGTACATCATTAATAATACTCATCATTCTGCTATCAAGGCCACGCCTAGTAAGGTGTTACTCGGTTACGATCAGAGGAACCACCGAGATCGCGATTTGAGTGGTTTCGTTAATATGCTTAGGCACATAGATCAAAATATCGAGAAAGAAAGACAGTCCACCTGAGACATGGCCTTGGAAGCAACTAATAAGTTAAAAGAGTATAACAAGTCTTGTTATGATGCTCGTCACAGAAAGCCTACGACGTATAAAACCGGCGATTTCGTACTTATTCGAGATGGTCATTCAAAGATCGGAGGTAGCAAAAAGCTGAAGTCAAAATATAAGGGACCATATCAAATTACTAAAATATTAAATAACAATCGTTACGTGGTCACCGATATTCCGGGATTTAATGTGACTTCTAAACCGTATAATTCCATTTTATCCTCGGACAAAATTAAACCTTGGATTAAACCGATCTTACCGCCTGACAGTCTCGGAGAAGGAAATTTGCAGTGAATTACATTGCTTTGCTGTTGGTGTAAGAAAAAAATTGCATTTTGGTCACACCACTCGTTACGCTCTTATTCATTCATATATGTATAGATATACTTACCTTCAATGTTTTATTTTTCTTTTGAGGCTAACTTGTTTAACCGTTAGCCAATTTGGCGGTGATGCACCGCATGATTAAAAAAAAATATATATATACGAGGGTGGTCCGATAAGTACTTAGCCTACAAAAGAAAAACGAAAATTTTGGAAAAGTGGCGATTTATTTCTCAACATAGTCTCCTTTTAGCTCGATACACTTGACCCAGCGATGCTCCAACTTCTTTAACCCGTCTGAAAAATACGTTTCCTCGAGGTCTGCAAAGTAGGCCTCCGTGGCGGCGATGACCTCCTCATTCGACTCAAATTTCTACCCGGCGAGTGACTTTTTCAAGTTTAGAAACAAAAAGAAGTCGCACGGGGCCAAATCTGGAGAATACGGTGGATGGGGCAGCAGTTCGTAGCCCAATTCGACCAATTTGACCGTGGCGAGGGCGGAGGTGTGAGCCGGTGCGTTGTCATGGTGGAAGAGCACTTTTTTCTTCGCCAAATGGGGCCGTTTTTTCTGCAATTCGGCGTCGAATCGGCCCAATAATTCGGCATAGTACAGCCCTGTGACCGTTTTGCCCTCCTCCAGGTAGTCGATGTAGATCACATCTTGTGAATCCCAGAAAACGGTGGCCATCACCTTTCCGGCCGATAGGACAGTCTTCGTCTTCTTCGGAGCACGTTCGCCGGGTGAAGTTCACTGTTTCGACTGTTCCTTGGTCTCTGGTGTGTACCAGTGGATCCATGTTTCGTCGACGGTCACGAAACGACGCAGAAACTCCTTCGGATTGCGCTTAAACAGCGTCAAACACTGCTCTGAAGTGGTCTCACGGTTGCACTTGTTGTCCGGAGTGAGCAAACGCGGCACCCATCGCGCAGACAGCTTTCTCATGCCCAAAATTTTATGCAGGATATGACCCACGCGGTCTTTTGAGATGCCTACTGTCTCAGCTATCTCGCGCACCTTCAATCGGCGGTCTGTCAATACGAGATCGTGGATTTTTGTCATATTATCCTCCGTGGTAGCCGTTTTCGGGGCACCTGGGCGTGGCTCATCAAAAACCGACGTGCGACCACGTTGAAACTCGTTAAACCAATTTTTGACGGTCGCCATCGAAGGAGAAGAGTCACCGTACACAGCATCCAAGCGCTCTTTGATTTCGCTGCGCGATTTCCGTTCCAAAAACAAGAATCGAATCACCGACCGATATTGCTCTTTTTCCATTTTTCTAAAATCCGCGGACACGCCCGCTTCCACACGCGGTCAAAACAAAACTGCGAGTCCGATTCGGCTGAAATTTCGACAGTAGCCGTCTACGAGAATGTATTACACGATAGTAAATTTCTCTTGCGATAGTGGCGCCATCGGGCGGTGAGGCTAAGTACTTATCGGACCGCCCCCGTATATCTTGCAACCCATTTGAGACGAATGGATCTGTCAGAATGGTCGAGTTGTAAGATATCAGACCGCGGGAAAGAGTTAGTGTTGCCATCTGTTATAAGCAACATATCTGGCAATACTAGAAATAATAACCGCGCGACCTCTGAGAGGATTATATATATTCGGAGACAAGAAGGAAGAGGGAAATTAGACGATTATTATTGGATTCAGTCAGTATTCTAGCATTCGAGCTTTTTAGCTTTCGGCTTTTTGGTTATTATTAAAACGTCTCTGCCTTCGTCTTCTGCGCTCTTCGTTTATTGGATCTTATTTTGTAATCCGTGAGCTTCGAGGCTTTCGGAGTGTTCACATTCTGTACTTTCGGACATTGGTCATTGCGAGGCGAGTGCTCAAATCTACTATTGGCGGACGTGGTTCTGACACGTCCTGAGGAGATTACCGTGTCGTAGAGTGTAATGAGGTACAGAGGAATAAATTACTACGCACTATTGTTAATAAATCATTTATCAGTCTTTCTTCCAAGCAGCAATCATTCTGACAAGTAAAAATATCATTGTGATACAAATAAGAGATCTATTAACAGCTACGCATATCCTACACTGCCAATTTGCGCTCAATTTACACTCATTTTGCTCATTGAGTTTATTTTCCGTACAACATATTATTATTTGATAGTCTATTGTAAGTTATTGAGGTTAAATTACGTTAATTGATATTCTCCACATGGTAAGGGAGTAGTGACATTGTTATTGTTTAATTTATTATGAATTAGGTAATTATACAGAATACCTTCCTCACCTCCGATATCGACGAAATAATATTTAATCGACGCGTTTTTGCAAGAGAAACAACTTTTCTATTTGAAAAAATCGTCGCTCTGCCTTGTGGAGCAAGATATAAATTGTTAAAGTTGAGGACAATTTAGGTTAGGAAATCTGTCACGGAGGCGACAGTGGTATAAGATTTGAAGCATGTTTTTATTCATCGCCGGATTCAGAGACTAATCATAATGAAATTTCACTTAGCAAAGAAAATGAGAAACAAACAAAAACGCAATTAGAGCTTTACTCTTTCAAATTCAAAGGTATTTCAATTTCAATAATCAAAGATATTTTACATTTTAGGTAGTTATGGTTTTAATGTTCTTTTCACGTTCTCAATGAATATGTTTTGTTTTATGTCAGGTCAGGTAATTTTAGATGCAAACAATGTCATAATGAAATTATGCTGAATAGCACAGTACTTCTGGAGCTAAGCAAAAAGTTGGATTCAGTGTTGATTAATCAGGCAATCATTATGCGGTCTGTCAACCCAGATCATGCCAAGTCTATGATATCTTCTAATATTCCAAATATTCCTCTAAAGACAAAATAAGACTTTCAAAAGATGGAAATATTTTTGACAGCTAATCGTATTAATTTTGAAGCTATGGTAAGTCTCATGTAATATTAATTTTAACATGTATAATATATATTAAAAGTTTAAAGAATATATAGTTATGATAATCATTCTATTTCATATTTTGTGCTCTAATAGCGAGATTTAGTTCATTCTAAATGTGCCAGTGCTTTAAGCACATTATCTGTTCCTTCAGAGCGCAGTATCACAGGAAACGTTTTGTCGAAGTTCTCAAATAGTCTTGCCAAACTGATAAGTTTGAGTGGGTCAGAAGGCAATAAGATAAAGTTCTTAGAGACAAAACAATAAGAAATTGTATTTAGTAAGTTGTCAATTTTTTATTTATCACATAAATCCCGTTGTTCTTATATTATTGGCATGAAGTTAATTTTTTTATTAGTACCCTGCGACGCTTCTTTCGAAGCGCCGACAAACAGTCGTCGGTCCGTGCGCCGCGGTCTTGCACCAACTGAATGTTGGGTGCCAGGTGCAGCGGGCTGCACCACTCACCAACACAAAGTTTTCCCCGCGGCGCGCGAATCCGTCGGGTCCGGTAGCTCGGGATAAATTTGAGTCAGCAGACAGGAAGGGTTCATCGGAAATAGGGAGGCGGAACGCACCAAGAAAAAAAACCAAAACGGCCTATTTGGCGAGATTTGGATTTATTCGATAACACCGGGAGACGGTAATCTCCTGCTCCTCGCGATATGGTACAATTGAATTTTATCCCTGTCACTCCTACGCGAGGTCGATATCGCTCTTCGTACACAGTGCGTTTTCGCGGAACGCGACACGTAACGGAACACCGAAAAAATGGCAGGTGGACGGTCTTACATGGACGGGAACCTCCCGGCAGCGTGGTCCTCGATTGTCGGCGGGTCGGTCGGTCCGGTCGCGCGGCCAGCGGCAGCTCGGTCCTCTCCGGGATCTTCGCCTTCGGTATTTTACGGCACTCCTCCGCTTTCCGGTAGCTATCGGAACACCAACTCTACTCTCTCTGTCGCACGCGGAACACCAAATCTTATTTCTCCCTTTCGAGCGGCACACAAAGCTTTCTCTCTTTCGAGCGGAAATACTAATTTGATCTGTTCGAGGCCAGAATCGAATCTCTCTCCTTTTTGCGAGACGAAAAACTAAACTCCTGATCGAGAGAGAAAAACGAATCTTCTCGTCTCTCGTTTTTCTGTTGTTCCTTTCTTCCTTCCGGGAATCCTTCCGCGAATTCTGTTGACAATCCGCGGAACGGATGCCCTCTCTCGCTCGCTCTCTCTCTGTCTCTCGCTCTCTCGCTCTCTCGCTTGCTCTCTCTCTGTCTCTCGCTCTCTCGCTCTCTCGCTCGCTCTCTCTCTGTCTCTCGCTCTCTCTCTCTCTCTCTCTCTCTCTCTCTCTCTCTCTCTCTCTCTCTCTCTCTCTCTCTCTTTCTCTCTCTCTTGCTCACGGCGTCCCGCGAGCGTGGCTCTTTGTTCGTCTAGCCGTTGTTTTCGGCTAGCGACCTATGCGTCGAGAACGTGCTCGACGGTATCTCGCTGCCTCGTCCGTGTTGTCGTTGTAGGAATAATACACGGCAGCGGTAATCTTTGCGGGATAACGATAAATTTTCTGCGACGAAACGAGAAAAGAGCGTAATCACCTGATCTGGCCGCGCCGGGCGGTGAGCGACGTCCTCGGCATCCTTCCTGGTCCTCCTGTCCAGGTGGCCGACTCGAGAGGTCCAAGGGCACAAATCTTGGGGACGCGAGACCGTCGCACCTGCACGCTCTTAATTCTAATTACTTCGGGGGGG